TTAATTTCGAGTTTTTATTTTCTTTTATTTTAGTTCTGTTCTTTCCAATCTCCTACAGACAGTCCCCAGCCGTGACCTCTTGGTGGTCCCACTCTCTACCTTGTACTTGCTGCTTGCGGCCGGAGGCAGGAGCCGAGGGGCGGCGGGGGGTCAGACAGAGTTGGCACCGTGTTCACTTTGGTCTCCCATGCTTGTCCCTTTTTAAACCCTCCTTGGACACAGCTGGGGACACACGCCGAGCCCCACGTGCAGTTTGTAGCTCAGGCAGATAGAATGTCACTGCTCCAGCCGTTCTGCTCTAGGATGGAGCAAAGCTGATCTCACTGTGCCGTGGAGTCCCTGTGTGCCTTCCAGGTGACTTCGTGCTGTGCTTGGTGGCAGATGGGACAGGAAGGAGAAGGAACGGGTCCAAGCGTTGCGAGGAGTCGTGGTGACGCCAGGCTGTGTCGTGGTGGTGCTGTGCATCCTTAGGGGACAGCACGTGGCCCTGTGCTGCTCCAGCATCACAACAGGCAGGCAGCTGCAGCCCACCTGCGGTGTGTCTGAGCCACCAGTGTCAGCTGGGAGCGGTGGCAGTGTCACTGCTGGGGAGGCTGGAGGTGGCCTCGTTACTTTTGGCCATCCCAGGTGCTGGAGAGGCAGTGGCTGTGCCAACCGAGCGTCGTGACGGCGAGGAGAGGAGGACAGGACAGGGACAGGGCTGGCACCCGGGACCTCAGATAGAGGCGTTCCAGTGAGAATTTTTGCTCTGGGGGAGAAGGTCGTCTGTACAGCACAGTGGGGGTCACAGGGCTGCGGCGATGCCATGGGTACGGTGCTGCCAGCATGGTGCTGCTGTGGCAGGAGCTCTCCAAGCTCCCATCCCTGCCTGGAAGAGAAAATTCCCCCTTCCAGGATGCTGGAGGGGGTTGGGCTCTGTGGGATGGATGAGCTGGGTTCAGTGCACTTGAAAGTGACACAGGGGTGCTTGGCCCCCCACCTCATTCTGCCCACACCTGTCAGAGGATTGGGGTCCAAACCCTTTGTTGGGATACAGATCTACAAAGAGGGGTTTGGGCATCATCTTGTGTGATAAACCCAATGTTTTGGGGCCGAGATGTGCCCAACATCCCCAAAATTTTACAGCAGTGATATCGCACACGGGGTGCAGCTGTTACCACTGCACCCACACCCCCCACCCCACGCTGGCAGCACCTCCCATAGCCTGCAGAGGGGACAAACAGCCCCCGCAGTCCGGACCCTTCCCAGCATCACCCTCAGCAATTGGCTTTGCAAAACGAGGGCCGCTTGGGCCGCTTCCAGTGGACAGCAGGAGCACTACCAGCACGGCAACGTCTGCCCCCTCCCGGAGCAACCCCCTGACTAACCCTGTGGTGCTGTGAACCCAGCAGTACAGACGAGGCCTTATCACTGGAGGACAAAGATCTGAGGGACCGGGAGAGGAGAATGGCCAATAACGCCAGGGAGAGGGTGCGCGTGCGGGACATTAACGAGGCCTTTAAGGAGCTGGGACGCATGTGTCAGATGCACTTAAAAACGGACAAAGCACAGACCAAACTGATCATCCTCCAGCAAGCGGTGCAGGTCATTCTGGGCCTGGAGCAGCAAGTACGAGGTATGGAAACTGCCAGAGGTGCACCTTGGGGTCCCTCTCCCCATTCTATGCGTGTGCGCGCACCTCTGCTGCCGCTCTGCTTCACGTGCGCTCACCTTTCCAAAGCCACCGCCTAGGTTTGGCTTCTTGGAGCCTCTCCGTCCCTTTTCCCGTTGTGCTTTTGGGAATTCGGCACCTGGATCCCTTTGGAAAACTCAGCTTTCAGCTTCGCTTTGCTTCGCTCCGAACGCAGCGCTGGGCCGGGTGCGGGGTTTTGCTGGAGCGCAGCCCCTGCAGAGCTGCAGGAGTGGGCAGAGAGCAGCTCTGCTCCCACCTCGCATGTCCCGTTCTGTCCTGTGCCTCTGTCCTCACTCCTGGGATTCTGCTGCCCAGACTGAGCTCGTTCCCTTCCCTCCCCTGCTGTTTTTGGCACACAGAGCGCAATCTGAACCCCAAAGCAGCTTGCTTGAAGCGTCGGGAAGAGGAGAAAGTGTCCGGAGTGGTGGGAGACCCCCAGATGACACTTTCAGCTTCTCATCCTGGTCTTGGAGACGGTCACAACCCCGTTGGACACATGTAAAGGTACCATTCCCTGCCCTGCAATCCCAACCAGGTTCCATCCCGCTGCTGTGCGTGCGATGCTCCTCCTTGCCATCCTCCCTTAGTGGATGAGCTGCCTGCATTTATCACAAATGAGAAAAAAAAGAGGCAAAACCCAACCAAACTGCAAGCTTACATCTCAGCTGCCCCTCAGCCACGCTGAGCCCTCGGGGTGGTTCATCCCACAGAGGTGACACTGCAGTGTGGGGACACCCGTTCCTGTTCTCATTGGTGCTTTTCTTGGTTTGATTTTTAGATCCTTTTGTTCGTCTGGACACAGAGATCCGTAGGATGCAAATCCTAGCTGTGATCTGCGACCTTCCCGAACCATAAACTTTAGTCCTGCTCATACTGACACACGTGGACGGATCCTGGCGTGACGTAAGGGGTGGAAAAAACACTTTGTCTGAAACGAAAACAAACAAACAAAAAAATTGCCTTAAGTATAAAGCGCGGAACAGTCAATACATATCACTCAGTTAGGAGGGGGTGGCGTGTTCTCTTGGCTTGTTCACAAGCAGCCAGCAGCAAAATTGTGCCTAAGCTTCATATTTCTCTCTCTCTCTCTCTCTTTTTTTTTTTTTTTTTTTTAAACAAACAAACAAACAAAAAAAAAAGAAAAAAGAACATTAGTTATGAGATTTTTTTATGTAGAACAAATAGCGATGCCTTTTGGGTTTTGTTTTTTTGTGTTTTTTTTTTTTTTTATAGCTTCTTTTGCATATGTTTTGTAAGCGACGAAAAGGATTTTTGTTGTTGGTTTTTTCGTTTTGTTTTTTTTTGGTTTTTTTTGTTTTTTTTGTATAAAAATTGTCTTGTACCCCCACGCTTTTCTGCTGCTGTTTCTATAGTTAACGTTGCATCTTTAGGATCAACCAGAATATTAAAATTGTATTAAGAGAGACTGGATATAAAGAGAGGAATTCTCACATTCGGCTCTGAAAGCCACTAAAAGCGAATGTAGCCACAGCAAGGAGATGTTGGTCCTTGCCCGGCTTGTACCTTCCATTACAAAACAAACTCGTGCTGAATTCTCCATCTCTTTGCTTTGGCCACTTCTGATTTGGGAAAAGGAAGTCAACCAGCAGCGCTCAGCTCCTCCAAGGAGGAAAAATCCCCCAGCACAGGGCTGTGTTGGATCCCCTTCGCTCCTGTTGTTTTGCTGGCCCAGGAGCACCGTGATGGGAGGACAGGAGCACACACACACACACACAGGGTGTGGAAGGAAACAAAGGATGGCTGCGTTCCCAAGGTAAGCAGAGCTGCTGCAGATGGAAGCTGCCCACGCCTGCAAGTGGCCGCATGGAGCCCAGGGCGCTTCCAGGGGCAGCGCTGAACAAAGATGACCGAACAAAGCTGGAGGCACTTGGAAGATGCAGTGGCAGATGGAGCAGCAGCAGCATTGAGGACGCAGTGCCTGGTGATATGGGAGCGGATGGACACACAGACACGGGCAGCTCAGCCCCCTGCCATGGCTGCAGTGTGATCCCATCCCCGCTCCGGAATCGCGACCGTCGGAAAGCGGCAGCGCTGCAGGAAGAGGGGCAGCTCTGCATCCCACTGCTGCAGCTCCTGGAGGTCACGCTCTGCCCATCCTGCCATGGGGACGTGGGGCAGCCAATGTCATCTGCATACACAGGAAAGGAGGGCAGCAGTGGGCACCCACCCCACACGACGCTCCGGCAGCCAAGCTGTGCTGCGCTCCATTCGCTCTGAGCCGCACCGGGTCACCACAGATGTGCCCAGCATGAGGAAACCCCAAAACACAAAGGCTGCAGGAGGTGCTGAGCCCCTTCTGAAGTTGGCAATGGAAGATCATCCACCGGGAGTCTGGGTTTTTGTTGTTGTTGTTGTTGTTTCTTCCCTTTCCTTTGCCAAAATCACTTCCAAAATGTTTTCTTCTTTCCAGCTCGGTGGGCTGATGGTGTCAGTGCCCCAAGATGATGCCATACCCCATTCCAGCAGCATCTGCACTGCTCTGGAAGTGGGGTCAGCTGCCTCCATGGGGCAGGACAGGCCATGTGGACAGCAAGCAGGGTCTGTCTCTGTCCTTTGTTTTTGGGCCCTGTGCTCCTGGGAGAGCTGTATTGCTTCAGTACAGGGAAAGGGAAGGGCTAGCAAGCAGCATTGGGTCCTGTGGCATTTCCTTGGTGTAACCTTGTGCTTTGTAGCTCTGCTTTGTGCTCTGGCAAAGGTTGCTGGAAGCAGTCGGGATGTTGCTCATCTCCCCATGGCAATAGCTCAGAATGGGGCTGGGTGCTGGAGCAGGATGGGACCATCTCTCCCTGCTGGGAGTCTGCAAGGTGGTAGGAAGCCATGCTGGATGCTTCTGGCTTTCCCTGCTCCCAGCATCACCTGTGAGTGAGACCTGGGTCTGTGGAGTGAGACCTGAGAGCAGGGCAGCCTCCTGCACCACCCCATGAGCTCGCTGGCTTACAGCACTCCTGCTCTGGGTTCTGCCTGTGGGACAGCCCTGCAGCAGAGCAGGGCTCTTCCCCCCACCCAGAGCACCCTGCAAAGTCCCAGCCCTGCGAGCCCAAAACCATGCAGAAAGCTTTAGAAGTGCTTCCCTGACATGTTGATTTAGCAACAAGAATTTGAGGTGGTGGTCGTGTACAGATGGATTTAAAGAAAATCTCCTCTTTTAAAAGAAAAAAAAAAAAAAAAAATCTGATAAAAATCCATAAGCTGTCAGCAAAATTGAAAATTTCTTGTTAGCAAAACTAGCCAACTTCTTGGCAGGGCACAGACAAAGGCCCTTGAGCACAAACCGCACTGTGCCAGAGCTTAGGGAAGTTTTGGTGCCTCTGTTCTGCACAGGGCAGCACAGTGGGGACGTGACATTGCTGTGTCTCACTCTGCAGTGCTGAGCTGCAGGGCAAGAGCTGGGTCACAGCCTGTGCACCTCGGGGCTGGGAGCAGCAGATGCTCTGCTGGAGCTGGGGCAGTGCAGGATTGTGCTTTGCCATCCCCATCGCTCTGGGGATGGGATCTGTCTGCTTGGCATTGAGAGTTTTTTGTCCTCTCTGGATGAGAAATGCAGAATTGTGATGTGGGACCTTCCCAGCTGTGATTTGGGCGAGCAGCCGGCGCGGTGAGACGGTTTCTTTGAGGTTATGCTTGAGCAGGAAGGGCAGAAGCAGGCTGGGATTTCCCCAGGAGTCTGCAATTTCAGGTTCAGTGCAGAAGCCTCTCTCAAAGGTGCTTTGTGTCTGAGGCACACCGAAGCCAGCAGAGCCCTCAACCCCCTCAGCTGAGGCCTTTGAGAACCAGGAGGCTTCTGAATGCCCATTCCCGTTCCCTCTGTCCCTGAGTTTTGCCTTTATGGAGTGATGCCTCAGTGGAGCCTGCAGCCCTGCTGTGTGCTGTGCCAGCCCCTGGCCTGGGGCTTTAGAATAGAGCTGGGGATGGGGAGGAGAAGCAGTGTTGGGCTGGGACAAGCAGAGAGCCCCACACACAGCATGGCCAACCCACAGCAAGCCACGGCCGCTGGATTCCCCCATTCCTGCTTAACACCAGCACTAGCAAGACCTGGTTGCTGTACCGCAGGCTTGCACGAGGTCTTTGCCCTGTTAAATCCTATGCAACCCCCTCTCCTCTCCCTCAGGGCTCTGCAGGTCCCAGCCCAGCCCCTTCTCTCTGCTCTGTGCCCGCTGAGCCCCAGTGCTCTCAGGGTTCAGCTTCATTTCCAGCAGCTCCAAAAGCATTTCCAGATCTGTGCCCTGAGACCGCGGGTCGGATGAGCGGCGAGAAGCAGGAGCAGCTCCCAGCACTGACCTGGGGGGAAGCCAGGCCTGTCCTGGGGCTCTTCATGCACGCTTCCCCCTCCTGTGCCTTCAGCACGGTGCTCCGCCAGCATCCTCCATCCTGCAGGGAATGGAGCTCTTTGGGCTGCTCTGCTGGCACCAGGTTTGGCTGCTCTTCCTTGGGCAGGAGCAGGGGCTCCACGCCAGTATTTCTGTCCCTGGGTCCTGTGCCACCCGCCCTGCTCCAGCTCAGCACCCATTGCAGCAGAAGGAGGGCAGAGAAAACCCCTCTCACCCCATACACACACAGCTGCAGTGGGGAAGAAAGGGGTTATGCCCCAAGCCAGGGTGCGCTGAGGCTGCAGCAGAGCATCCCCGCAGCCGTGCTCCCTCCCCATGGCCCCAAATCACCCAAAAGCCACCAGCGTCCAAGCAAACAGCAGCACAGGGACGTGGGGAGGGCCACCAGGTGCTCCCCACCAGCAGCTTTTGGTTGTGGGGTGAGAGGGGCACCAAGTTGGGGGTGGGAGTGATTCGTTTTCCAAGGAGCTGGTTGGCAAAACGAAGCATCCCATGGTTGCTCTTTCTATATATTTTTGTAGGACAGGGCGGGATGGGAGAGCAGATGGGAGATGCCTGCAGAAGTTATTTTTAACCCCATATAAAGTTTTAGGTTGGTTTTGGGGTGGTTTTTTTGGCCTTTAAATAAGAAAATAATAATAATAATAAAATGGTCCTTGCTTTTGATGTCTATGCTGCCTACCTGTAAATCCAGATGTACTTAAGTGGCTGAAATCCTTGTTCTTAAATCAGATACACATTATAGTTTTGAACTATATATATAGTAAATATATATATATATATGCCTAACCCAGCAAAAATAAAAAAATAAGAAAATAAAGTATTTGGGGGTGGGGAAATGCATTGTTCTTTGAAATGAATCACAATTGGGGGATGAAATTGTGTTTCTGAGTGCCTCGAGATAAGAATTGTTTTCATTTTTTTAAATAATTTTATACAAGTGTCAAAACAGCTGGCTGGATTATTTGGAATTTTTAAATAATCCTAACTTTTTTAAAGTAGATTTTGAGAACTGTCCTGTATATAACAGTAATGTAGCAATAAATGTGACATTTTATAACAATATTCCTTTTTTTTTTTCCCCCCCCATGTCTGTCTTTCAGATGTTGTATACCTATGAATGAAAAGTTGTAATAAAGGTTTTACCTTGTGCTAAAAGAAATACAAAAAGAGAAAGACGAGGTGACCCAGCAGGATTCAGCCACTGTCTGCCCTCTGTTCTGTGTTCTGGGCAAAGGCTCAGCCCAAACCCATCACCACAAGTCCTGGTATTGCCCCAAATCCACCCTTGTGCTTGCAGGGGGGTTTTTAGCCCTCTGCTGTTCCCTTGTTTGTCACCTCTGGGCAAACAGAGCCATTTCATTCAGTGTCTCCACGTCCCAGCACTGCTTCACCCCATCCCCTTTGCTTCCATGTCCCCTCCCAGGGGCTGATCCAGTTTCCTTCCCCTTGCACAGCACCTGCAATGCTGGTGCTTTTCCTCCTTCCCTGCCTCAGTGCAGAGCCAAAGTGCTGCCAGGCACCAAATACCTGTTGGTTATTGAGAAGTTTGAGATGTGAGATGCCAGGTGAGGGGGTGAAAAGTATTCTGGGGGTGCAGCTGCCCAGCCCTAGCAGGACAGATGGGAAAGGTGAGGACTGAGAAACCAAGGTTGTACCAGATCATGAAACAGAGGAATGAGAAAAGCGTGTCTGGGAGCAAGACTGCAGGTGGGAAGACAGACTCAGAGATGCACCAGGCTGAACACAAAGCTGGGAGTGTAGCGAGGGCAGGAGGTGCTGCAGAGCAGCTGGGAGCAAATGGTTTGCCCCACACTTCACTGTGGTGTCCCTAAGGCAGCTCTGGGTAACCAGGCTTGCTGCCCCTCTTCTGCTTCAGACCCTACAACGATATCTGTGCCACAGCCAGATGAGGTGACCCTCAGTTGGGCAGCACCTTACCTTCAGGAGTGAGCATTTGGGGTGCAGCTCTGCATGGTGCTGTCTCTGCTGTGCTGTGAGCAACGTACAGCCAACAGCAATAACTGCGTCCAAGTGTGGAGCCCCCAGTACAAGAAAGACAGGGAGCTGTTGGAGAGGGTCCAGAGGAGGGCCACAAAGATGATCAGGGGACTGGAGCACCTCCCCTGTGAGGACAGGCTGAGGGAGCTGGGCTTGTTCAGCCTGGAGAAAAGAAGGCTGCGGGGTGAATCACTGCAGCCTTCAGTACCTAAAGGGAGCCTACAAGCAGGAGGGGAATCAACTCTTTGAGAGGGTAGATAACTGCAGGATGAGGGGAAATAGTTTGGAGTTGAGGGAGGGGAGATTGAGGTTGGACGTCAGGGAAATTCTTTATAGAGAGAGTGGTGAGGTGCTGGAACAGCTGCCCAGAGAGGCTGTGGATGCCCCGTCCATCCCTGGAGGTGTTCAAGGCCAGGTTGGATGGGGCCCTGGGCAGCCTGGTCTAGCATTAAATGAGGAGTTTGGTGGCCCTGCATGTGGCAGGGGGTTGGAGATTCATGATCCTTGAGGTCCCTTCCAACCCTGGCCATTCTATGATTCTATGATAATAAGGAATTTCTGCAGAGAGACAGCAGGTTGGTGCTGCAGAGTGGTGTCCAGAGCAGACAGCAAATCCCTCTATGCAGCACTTGAACTTCAGATGACAGCAAATTATATTGGAAGAATGATAATACTGCTGTTTTGTTTTAATCAGGAAACCAGTAGCATTACTGTATCTCTTGCTGTCTGCTTGGACTGTGGTAAAGCAGTAGGAAACGCTCCTAAAATTGTCTTGAAAACCACAGTGTGTATCTGAAGATACACACTGAGATGTTTTTCTTGAGTTTGGAGTTATTTTACCTTGGCTTTTTTTTTTTTTTTTTTTTTCATCATGTAGGAAACTTTCATTGCAAAGTGAGAGCTGAGGCTGCCTTGCATTTGCATGACTCCAAGACACTGAGCTCAAACAACATTAAAAAAGAATAACCTGCATAGATTCTGCTCACCAGGCTCTCTCCCTCCATCACCACGGTGGTGGTGGCAAAAGCAGCAGCTTCCTGCAGGAATGTGTGCCCCACAGCTCTGCCTGACTTCCTCCTGCACCAGCTGGTGCGTGGGCACTGGGGAAACAGCGGGCAGAAACGAACCCAAAAGTCAGCATGGTTCGGTAACCTGCGTCACCCTGCTGGAGAAAAAGTCAAACTGTCAGTGTGAAACGTGGTGGTGAAGTCAATCATGCAAAGTGCTGATGAAATAATTCTGGTGAGAGAAAAAGAAAAGAAAAGAAAGAAAAAAAACAGGCTGGGTTTTTTGTTTTTTGTTTTTTTTTGTATGAGATTCAGATAGAATCATAGAATGGTTTGAGTTGGAAGGGACCTCTTAAGGCCATCTGGTCCCATTCCCTGCACTGAGCAAGGGACACCCACAGCTCCATCAGTGCTCAGAGCCCCATTCCCTGCCCTTGGGTGTCTGAAGGACGGGACATCACAGAATCACAGACATCCACCACCTCTCTGGGCAACCTGTGCCAGTGCTTCACTGCCCTTATCATTAAAAACTTTTTCCTTATATTCACTCTAAATCTCCCCTCTTTTCATCAGAGCCCTTTTCCCCTTGTCCTATCACACAGACCCTGGTAAAGACCATCCTCTTGTTTCTTACAGCCCCTTTAGGTACTGAGAGGCCACTCTCAGCTCTCCCTGGAGCCTTCTCTTTGGAAGGCTGCACAGCTCCAGCTCTCAGCCCGTCCTCACAGGGAGCTGTTCCATCCCTCACATCATTTTTACAAGGGCGGATAGTGATAGGACAAGGGGAAATGGTTTTAAACTAAGAGAGGGAAAGTTTAGGTTAGATATTAGGAGGAAGTTTTTCACACAGAGGGTGGTGAGGCACTGGAACAGGTTGCCCAAGGAGGCTGTGGATGCCCCATCCCTGGAGGCTTTCAGGGCCAGGCTGGATGTGGCTCTGGGCAGCCTGGGCTGCTGGTTGGTGACCTGCACATAGCAGGGGGTTGGAACTGGATGAGCACTGTGGTCCTTTTCAACCCAGGCCATTCCATGATTCTATGAGTTTTGTGGTTCTCTCTGGTTGCGCTCCAACAGGTCCATGCCTCTCCTGTACTGAGGACTCCACATCTAGACACAGGTCCCAGGGGTCACCTCCCTCCTCCAGGATGGGGACAGGACCAACATCCCACACCTCCACCCTCGTGCAGGGATAGGGCCAGCCCTCAGGGCCTGTGCTCCCCCTCCATCACCAGAACAACCACACTCGCTCAGCTCTCACTGTGCAACCTGCGCACAGCCCCACAGCCTCCCTCCTCACTGCAGCACAGCCACAGAGCCCCTGCTGTGCTGTGAGGGCAAGCCTGGCCCCTCAGGCTCATCTCTCAGCTCCACAACGAGGTCAGGGCCTAACCTACAACCCCGCAGCGCTGTGAGGGCAGCCCCAACCCTTCACATCCCCCTTTTACAGGCCGCAGGCCTACTCGGGATGAAGGAGGTAGGCCCGTTGCCATGACAACACGGCTGCGCTCAGGCAGCGCCGCGGGCGGCCCCGGGGTCCTTCGACTCTCGGCGTCGCGTTGGCGCATGCGCAGTGGGGGTGACTTTGAGGCTGCGCGATGCTGAGCAAGTTGGTGGGGCCGCGTTATGTTCAGCTCCTGCAGAACTGGTGAGCGGTGGGATGGGTGCAGGCTGAGCCTTGGGCTGAGGGCAGGGGATGGGGTGTGTGGGGGGAGGGGGCTTCGGGTGGTTCTTTCCCCCCCCTGAAGGGAGCGCAGCTGCTCCACAGCTCTGTGTGTCCTTATGGGAGGGCCACCAGCTGGGCTTTAAGGGTCTTTTTAAGTGTCTCTTTTAAATAAAAGCATTTCAGCCCTTTGCTGTGCAACATTTTGGCTGTTCTGGACGCTGGCCACTGCGTACATGGAGTTTCTTCAAGGTTTCTGCTAAGATAGTTCTTGTCTGTGATGAATTTCCCAGATCACAGAATGGCCAGGGTTGGAAGGGACCTCAAGGATCACGAATCTCCAACCCCCTGCCACGTGCAGGGCCACCAAACTCCACATTTCATACCAGCCCAGGCTGCCCAAAGCTCCATCCAACCTGGCCTTCAACACCTCCAGGGATGGACGGGGCATCCACAGCCTCTCTGGACAGCTGTTCCAGCACCTCAGCACTCTCACAGCAAAAAAATTCCCCCTGACATCCAACCTAAATCCTCCCTCCTTCAACTTTTGTCAAACCTTTCCCAGGGGAGAATTAAAGCTGTTCACCTTTTCTGTCTCTTCTTTAGGACTCCCACCCTTGTTACGTGGGGTGGTGTAGCTGGCACCGGTTTGATATGGATCACAGACTGGAAACTCATCCTTCAGTACGTCCCCTACATCGGTGGGAAGTATAAAACTGAAGACTGAGCTTCCCTCTGACAGTCAGGTTGGTTTATGCAGCTGTGAGCTGGATTTGTAGAGCTGCTTGGATGTGATCACAGAATGGCCTGGGTTGAAAAGGACCACAATGATCATCCAGTTTCAACCCCCCTGCTTTGTGCAGTGTCACCAACCACCAGCCCAGGCTGCCCAGAGCCACATCCAGCCTGGCCTTGAATGCCTCCAGGGATGGTTGATGTGTTGTCCTGTTCCTCCAGGTCCAAAACAGTATTCCTTATTTTGATGATTCAGTGGTTTGTTTTTTTTTCTCTGTTGTTGGTTTTTAACAGGCAGCGCTTCACAGGGTTTCAAAGGATGAAATATAACCAAGAATATCATTTTCAATTGGTTATTTTGTTAGCAGTGTATTTTCCACAGTGTGCTTTGGTTCTTGAGAAGTGAAGTTGAGCCCTCTGGGGTAAATTAGGACTTCAAGCAGATCCATTTACTTCTAATCTTAGCTACGCTTGCTTGAAGGTCAAGATTTTGTTGTTAGACCTATTCAGATGCCTTTCTCTTCAGTGTAGTCATCAAAAGTAAGCTAAGCTTTCAGTGCTGGCTACAGAGTACTAAAAATAATTGGAAAATAGGCTTTCTCAGTGTTCTCCTCATTCCTTTTAAAAGTGCTGTTCTGAGTCTTATAAGACTGAGCATCCATAGAGCTAAAGCAGCAATTAGTACCATCTGCTGAGCCTCTAAATGCACACACAGATGGTAAGCAGGCTTAGAACTACTTTATTCTATATTCCATTCTATGATTCTATGCTATTCCTTGCTGCAGATACAAAATTTATGATTTTTTTTGCTTTATTTTAAAGACACTGAGAGGAAAAGGCTGAGGAAAAGCCCTCAGATCATGCAGGAGCAATTAAGCCACACAGTAAGGGTTTTCTTTGCTTAAAAATTACCTGAGCCAGCAGTGGGAGCATGGATGCATTCCTGAGAGCACAGCTTATGTTCTCTGTTTTCAAGTATTGCTTTCTCCAGATACTTATGCACAGCATTTTGCTGTAGAGAAGAGGGATGTTTCTGTGGTGGCCTCTGGTTCTTTTGAAAGAGACATAAAAGCCTCCATTCTGATGTTGGCTTTTGTAGCAGAAATTTGTTTCTGGGTTTTATTAGAGGTTTGTTGACATCTGTCTGTAGTGTTGGCTGCTATACTTTGTAGGAAGTGCCTCTTAACGACTGCTTTGTGTTTATTGTAGGAAATGTATTGCTGGATTGAGTGTTTTGGAGCCTTCTGCTGAGAACCCTGCTTTGAGGTGAACTTGAAATGCTCAGTACGGATTCTACAAGAGGCTGTGGTGTCCCTAACTCTGCCACAAACACTTGTGAACACTTGGTTGTGAACGTTCTGCTTCACACACAGCCTGCCTCATGCTCTCCTGATCCCTTCCACAGTTGATCTTGGCCTAATGCAAGTAATTTATGAAGCTGATGTACAAAATAAACCAAGTGAACAATATGTTGGTGTTGCTGTGTTACCTTCTTTGCCCACGTTTTTTTGTTGTGTCTTCTGCTTGTTCAGCACATGCCCCAAGGAGGGCGTGCACAGGTTTGCTTTGTTTCCTGTGCAGTTTCCTCAGGCACCAACTGCTGTAGTTGTTGCTCACTCCTGTTCATGCTGCTGTAGTTTTTAAACTACTCTTAGCAAGGTACTGATTCCTAGCTCAGCAGCATCTCTCTAGGGAAGATTTTATCTTGGTTGTAGTGATGATGCTGCTTGGGTGCTGCATTTAGGGTTGAAGGCTTTGGAGTGATACTGTTGTAAGTGGAACACCGTTGTAAAATCTGGCTAAATGGTTTCACTGAGCAGGATACTTCAGCTGCCTAACAGTAACTGCTTTAGCATGAACGCAGCAGCACTGATAATTAACTGTATGGGGAAAATCAATTATTTTCCTGTACAAAACTCATTCCAGTAGGTTACTACTGAAGGCTGTGGTGGGATGGCTGATGTCACCTGGTGCCGTGCTCCTGAACTCCAGGCTCTGAAAGGTAAAGGCACTGTGAAATTCTGGCATCACAGCCCTGTGCTGCACACAGAGACGTTGATCCGTTCTCACCCAAGCTGCCCTGAAAGTGGAAGTTAGATGAGCCCATACGTCATCACCTAGTGCTAAAATCAGACCTGAGCAATCAGTCTGTGCTCTTACCTGCTCAGCATGTCTAGACACGATGGGCATAACGTGCTGCTGCTGCCTTCAGTCCTGACCTAGTTTGGGCTCGTCCCCGTGGGCGAGTGAGTGATCCTCTTCCTGCTGCTGAGAGAAGCCTTCAGAAGGGCTCAGAGTGAGGGCTCATCCCTGCTTCTTACTGCTCCCTCATGTCCCTGAGTTCTGCAGCTCTGATGAGAGAGTTGTCCTCAGCGAGGACCCAGCAGCAGCAGTGCTGTTATGCACAGCGGATTGCAGTGGGAGGTACTTAAAAGAGAGAAGCACATTCAAAATCCCAGCTGAATGCACAGGCAGGCAGGGCAAGAAACGTATGGACTTTGGATTTGTTTACCCTTTGGCGATGGTTCAGCTGCTTGTGTTTTCTGCTGCATTTCAAATGATGGTTTTGTCTGTAATTAACCCGAGGATTAGCCTCTTGCTAATGCCATTGCTGGTAGTTCTCCTTCCACAAGAGCAAGCGTTCTGCAGAAATTCTCCAGTAGAAACATCCTTGTGTTCTCAGACGAGTATCTGTGAAAATCTGAGTAATTACCGTCCGATTAGCAGGGCTGATCTTTCTAGTTTTTAATACTCACTCATCGCCTCTTTTCAAACAGTTAATTATTTTCCAGACTGAACTGATGCGATGTCACACGTGCACATAGGAAGGAATCGGTGTCAGACAAAGACCTGCGAGAGGAAAACTCCCGTGTCACAAGCAGGAGAGCTCCGCTAGAGGGCTCAGCACAGGGCTGAGCAGAACCCCAACGTGTGGGATGGGTGATGGGCTGGTCCTGGAGCCCAGCGTGCTCAGCTGGCAGCAGATCTTCACTTCATCCTCTGTACCTCAACAGCATTTCCAAAGGAACTCCAGAATATTTTCCCCTCGAGTTCCAGAGTTACAGCCCAAACTTATCGTGCTGTCCCAGGAGAAGAAACATCTTCCTTTCCATAGCCTCTTCCTGCAGGGAAAATCCATTTTCCAACTGCTGTTACCCCGTGCTTGCAGTATCTCCAGGTCAGTATCTCCATCCCCCCCTGCACCACGATTACTCCCCACCTTGTGCAGTTTGTTCTTAAATAAAATGCCATTGAGGGCCATTTAGTTTGCTGTACACAGGACTGTGAGGTTCAGGCTGTGCTTCTAGCACAGCAGCCTCGCTGCCACCAGCTTCTCTTCCTCATTTCCCCATTTGATGTGCTGGAAATGTGCAAATTTGGGAATGCTGTGCCTCAGTTCCTGTGCACGGCTTGTCCACCAACCTTTATTCTTGGTGGAGAAGCTGTGTTTCAGTCCGAGTGCTTTGTTGTGATGAGAGGGGGAAAAAAGCAACGGGAAAAGGGGAAGTAGGTTTATGAAAAACGATGTGGTTTTGATCAGTGCTGGTGGTCAGAGCTTTGTGTGCTCGAGATTGCAGGGAATAACGATAGGAGAGCAAGATGCTTCCTGAGTGTTCATCCAGGAGGAGACGAACACAAACCAACAGAAACAACCCTGGTGATGTGGAATGAGAGCTCTGCGCTGATTAAAGGCACAATCTCCAGTGCCAGGTGTCTGAAATAGAAAATTCTTCCTGTATGAGCAACTGCAGCCCTGCACCCATGGGCACAGCCACCCCTCTG